TGAATCTGAAAAATATTTATAAAAGCATTCTTCATTATGATTTCATTAATTTATAGATTGTAGTTTTCAATTATAACGGCGCCTTCAGAATTTTGATATAATCACGTATTTTAAAATTTTTGATGCTTCACCTACTATTTCATCATTCGTCATCGATCGAAGAAAATTATACACGGATACTGCATTCAATAAATCCGTCTCGGGGTATGCATAAACAAAAAATTAAATCAACAAATAAAATGAATGAAGCAAGAGATATCAGACAAATTGATGCTGTATTGCCTCCATATGTATCTGATGATGAATTAACTCTTCAATTTACAAACGATGAAGTAAAAACAATTCAAATTAGGGCTTGGTCTTCATATATAACAATTGCTGTATTCAGAAATGCAAATATGTTTATGCTCGAAAATGGAGAACCTTTGAAGCCTGTTTATTCATTAATAAATGAAAATGAACATGAATATGAAAAATCAATTTTACTTAGAATAAAAGGTCGCCAGCCAAATTTAGTTCTTCAATATAATGGAATTTCAGAACGTTATTCATCTGATATGCATGTAAGTGTAGTTATCAATGTTAAAGATTTTACTTATGAATTGCCACAATTAACAAACTCACATTTAATAATTGCTTATGCAAATAAACCAACACATTATGTAAAAGAATTAGTCAATCAAGTTATGGTTACTATCAAGGAAATCTATATTTTACTGATATCCATGAAAATTATGGGACTTGTGTTCATATTGATATGGAAAAAAGTGTTGAATATGAAATATCAGGAATATTTGATGTTGATGGTTGTCTTCCTGCATTTAAAGATGCTAAAAAAGTTGAAGTCATTTTTTCAGATGAACTAAAAACACTTAAAATTGATTCAACACCGATAAAAGTCATTTGTATGACAAAATGCGAACAGATTGTTGTTATGTCAAATGTTGCAGGAATCAAACGCGAAGATAATTACACAGATGATTCATCGATTCTTTCATCAACAAATGGACCACAAAATATATTAGTTTTCTTCATAAAGAAATCATTTTGGTCTTCCAAATATAATTATTCAGTTAACACAATTTCCGAAATGCAATCAGCATATTATTTTGAGTCTTCTAATACAAATCAATATATCTACTCTTATTCACCGTTTTCAGTGAAAGTAAGATATTATATAGGACCACAAAGTAAGTCTAGGAGTCATATTTATTGTAAAAATAATAACAATGAATTATTACTATCAGAAGATTTAAAGGAATCAGAGATTTATTCATGTAGTCATACAAACTATATTAACATTTTATTAATTGACGGAAGGATCGAACTTTCTGATTTTAAATTTGATGATCCAAAGATATCAAATGAAGGCTATCCTCAGTATGATAATGGAAATTTGAAGCCATTATGGTTACCAAAAACACAAACATCGAATGAAACTTCAGGTACTGATAATCAGAAGAATAGTTCTAGTAATAAAGCTCCAGCTGGTGCAATTTCTGGAATCGTCATTGGTATTATTATTGAAATTGCAATATTTATTATTGCATTTATTGTTATCCGAAAATACAAATCATCAACAACAAATACTGATGTAGGTGAAGAAGTTTAAATTTTCTTATTGAATAAAAATTTACATTTGATTTTTCTATATGAACTTCTATAAAAAATATATTGTCTTACAGAAATCTCCAAATTTAAACCATTTCATATAGTTTGATTGTGCAAAACCTATATTCTTAATATAAATTCACTCCCATTTCACTTTATCAAGAATATTCTATTCAAAAGTTATTGCCCATATTGTAATTCAACTCCGCTGTTTTGCTGATAATATAGAATGATTCAAACATTCAAAATTAGTACTTGAAATTAATTTTAATTTTGAATTATAGGAAGGAAGTTCAATATGGTGTCACCCCCTTTCATTTTTAAAATTTAATTCGGGAGTCTTTTTGGCTCTAAACCAAGTTCAAATTAATTGCTTTTAGAAAACATGTTCATTGTGAAGAAGTTACAAATAGTATTTGGCGTCTTTATTATGAAGGAATTGATCCTCCTTCTTCAGTCATTACAGGTGAAGTTCAACAAGTTCCTACAACATCGAGCAAATGCTTTGCATACATCTGTAAATTTATCAACTTACAAGATAGAGCAGTTAAATTCAAAAATACAAATGATTACTCGATTTTACTTTGCGAAAACGTTTTTTCAAAAGGTCCAGGTACAGTATATATTAAAAATTCTAATAATACTGCCATTATTATTGATAAATTCTGTTCATCTGAAAGTAAATCTACTGTATTTGGCCAATTTCTTCATTTCGACGGCAAAATCAACAGTACAATCCTCCAAGGATCAATTTGTAATGGAGGAAATAGTTCAGTATATTGTATGATTTACCAGCAATATGGTTTTGGATCACTTTCAAAAACAAACATTTCTAACTGTATTTCATATCGATATCCAGGTTTTGCTTATGGTTATGTTAAATCAACAGTAAATGTTTCATTTTGTAATTTTGAGAATTTAAAAGCAACTGACGGATTGATTACTTATTTTTATTGTCCAGGAAGAATTGACCGATGTAATTATATAAATAATTCTCAAAATAATAAAAATTATGGAATTGTTTATGTTTCATCTTATAGACTTGATATTTTCGATTCATCTTTCCAAAACAATCCTCAAATTAACAAAGGAAAATTATTTAAAGCAAGTGGTGGGCAGATTTATATCCATCGATGTAGTATTGATTCTTATTCATCTATTGGATATGTTGATACATCAGAAAAAGGAGAAGTTTCATTTAAGAATATATTAAAATTCATTGATTTAAGTCCATGTGAAGGAAATCTTGAAATAATATTATTTGTACAAAGAAAGAAAATAAAATTTGTTCATTTTTTCATAATTTTCTTTTTGGTAAATATCATATTTCTATTTTGTTATTACTAAACGATAAAAATTAATAATTTTTCATATCTTCTGCATTTTTTAAACAAATAACGAGAAAAATATAGAAATAATAATGATATCAATTCGATCATAGTCAATGGTAACTTCATGTATAATGTTGTAAACCAAATAGAAATATTGTAAAAATTATTAAATTCTGTTTATAGTAGTCTTGGGAATTAATTCTAAATTAAAGGGATGATTTTGAAAGTCTGGCGTAGTTTGTATTTTAGAGATAAATCCAAAAATATCAATTCTTTCATAGGAGAAAAATATCTTCGGGTGTTAAGTTGTAAACTAAGGCAGTGATCTTTTAACACATTATAATAAACTTTAAAATATTAAAAAAAATATTATGTTTTTAATCATACTCATTTTCATATGCACAAAATGATGACATTGGATCAACAATACCTTCATAAACTGTTTGATCGTCAATCATATCAACTTCGAAGTCTTTGCAGAACTTGTTGATCATTTCTGTGCAATCATCCAGATCGGATTTGATTTTATCGATTTCGTCACCGGATTCAAATTCAATCAAAAGTTCGTTCACTGCTCTTCGATGTTGTTTAAGTGCTTTAACAAGACATTCTGAGAACTTAGAAACGTTTTCTTCAAGAAGTTCTGGATACTTTTGTTTGATAAAACTCAAACAGTCACGTGCACAGTTAGGATGTTGCAATGTTGTATAAAGCATTTCTTTGTATCGACAAAGATCTTTTCCGAAAATAACCATTGGTGAATCCTTGAATGCACCAATGGGCATAGAAAGATATGGATCGAAGTCTTTGACAAGTTGATCAAGAGATGTGAATGCTCGGTTCAATGTATTAACACATAATTCTTTAACACGAACTTCCTGGATCTCGATCTTCTTGATAGAAACACCTTGATGATAAAATGGTAATTTTTCTGATGTTTCGATGTAAAGAGTTTTAATAGGATTCTTCAGTTCTTCAGATGATTTCTGTGATTGTTTATTGATAGAAACAACTGATCGGAACTTATCCCATGAATGAGGAGCTTCATCACCTTCGATTTTATCATCCGATGGCTCTAATTGGATCAAACAAATACCATCACCTTTGCATTCCTCATGATGATCGCAATAATCTGTTGGACAAACAATTCCTTCGCGATTCTTCAGTTGTTGAACAAAATGGATTGTTTCCGTCTTCTTGCAGCAGTATATTCGTTGATCTTTCTTGCCGCCTTGTCTTCTTCACCATGAAGAATGACAATGGAACACTGACACCAACTGTGTTTCCTGTAGAAATACTAGACAAATAATTGGACAATTTAGAACAGATTTCTTTAGACCGGCCGTAATCGCGGTTCTGATAAAGAACACGTAATGCCATTGATGACAAACCGCGCAATGTATAATATAACTGTGCTTCTTCGCATAACCAAACAGATGAATTCAAATATTCAATCAAAAGATTTTCATTAAAATCAGACAACAAAATTTCGGCATCGGCATTCCTGCATCAACTTTAACTTTAGTTTCGACTTGAACTGAAGGAATGAAGAAGAATTCTTGATATGTTCTAGATCGGCCGTAATCATAGACATTGTTTGCCGTTCTGATTGGTTGTGTCGTTGATAAATGGAAACCGGGTGGTTTAGGCAATCGTTCGTTCTTCTTTTTATTTTCGAGTTTTTCATGTTTAGAACGATGTTCAACAACCGTAGCAATTAAACATGTACAATGTAATTGTGAAACAAACGCTGAGATATAATCACCGGATTCGATATTGATACGAACTAATTCACTCAACCACTTTAAGCGCATGTTTGGAAAGTCCATGTTTTCATCAGCCAATGACATTAATTGTTGACAACGAATGGACAATGCTTGTTTTGATGATTTCTGTTTTTCAACAATATCTGCAATGGATAAAGCAGAATCCATTCGATCACTAACTTTCTTTTTAAGTGATTTATTGTCTGGTGTAAGTTCTTTAATTATCAAAATATATTCTTTAAACATAGGAATCATTGAAACTTTGTTTTCTAAAAGAATTGTTGCGTATTCATCAATGAATGAAAGTGTGGAAACATTAACTTGTTCATATCGATTGTAATCTTGTTTGAAACTGTTAATAATCAATGCGGTACTCAATGCACGTGATTTTGCTTGTTTGTACATAATTAATTTAGTAGACATGATGATGAAATTACGTTCTAATGGATATGATTCGAATAATGAATCACAAAGTAAATACAAATACTTGTAGTTATCTGTTGGTTGGTATCGACACAACAAAACTTCAATTAACTGGATGACTTCGTTCATGCAAACACCTAATTCGGATTTGACGTCAAACAAAAATTTGATGTAAATATGTGTCAGCAAATCAAGAAGATTCAAGTTAATTTGTGGACATTCATATGTTGGTTTGATGACATCCAATGTGTCAGTGATGATTTTTCCGGTCAATTTAAGGAATGAAATGAAATGACACTTGAATGAGATAGATAATGAATGGAAGAATGATAATAACTGCTTCTGTTCACTGTTCTTGATTAAGAATAAAACAAATGGAATCAATGCAATTTGCATTCGTTTGTTAGACATAAATAATGGGGATTCAAAATGATTAGAACATAAATCAATAAGAGGGAATAAAGCAAATGCGATTCGTTGTCGAATACTATAACAAATCTCATCTAAGTTAGATAACAATCGAGCTAAAAAGCCTGCACAAAGTGCAAATGTGTCGGGATCACGACCGCCAAAACATTGTTGTGTCGACAACAAAAATTGTGATGTAAGTTTCGAATAAGGAGAATACATAGCGTTTGTTGATAATGGTTTCATGTTGTTAGTCATGTTGATCAAGAAGTGCTTAGAAAGAGATAATGGAGATAAGAAAATCCATTGAACTCGTGTAGCAGACATTGGATGTGCAATTATGGGTCTGACCTTAGATATAGTTCGAAGGAATGTGTAAACGAATCGTACGATTTCTTCATTTCCAAGATCTGAAAGATTATGGAAGAAGAAGAGTCCCAATGACTCTGTAATGGAATTGCAATCAATATCCTTAGTCAATAAGAAGCAAATCAAGTCAAGAAGTGAGTTGTTAATTGTAATTAAGTCTTGAGCTGTTGATTGAAGTTTGCCATCGGAGAAAACAATCTGCATAATGTCAAGAATAAGTGGTAAAGATGTTGAAAAGTCTGGAATGATTGTTGTTTCGATCTTTCCTTCAATGATTTCATGACAAAATGCTTTAATCGCTTCCGGATAGAATGTTGGGAAGTCATCACCAATTGTTTGTGGATCGAAATGATTGAACAACCACTTTCGAAGTGATGTTCTACCGCCATCGCCAAATGTGATCAATAATTGAACCAATGTTGGGAGAACTTTAGAATCGCGCTTCTTAATAAGTCGGCAGAAAAGAGGGATGATGTAAAGATCAGCATATGACTCGTCAATTCCAGACAAACTTGGAATATCGAAATTATCAGTCAATGCCGTAGCCATGTTTTGAGGAGGGAAGTAGAATGGAGGGATAGTGATCTGTAATGACAAACCTTCTGATTTCTTTGGTGTTTGCAGAGTTACTTGGCATCTTTAGAAACTTTGCCTGCTTCTGAGAAAAGCTCGACTTCTACAGATGTATTGTTATTACCTGAGATGCAACTTAATGGAATAACTGCTGTATCGATCGCTTTCTCTTTGATCTTAGAATTTTCTTCAACATGATAAAATTGAATCAGGAAATGACACTTTAAGATGTTTCTGTAGGGACGATCGGTATGAAATCAGGGAATGCGTGTTTTGGATTGCCATTGAACATCGGAGAAACATAAAAATCTGTAAGACCTGTGCAATTCTTGTTTATGATTATTTTGAGAGTCTATAATTTTTTGTAGTTTGGTTTCTCACATACGCAAGCTTTGAAGTAAACTTTTCCTGATTTAAGATTCAACGTAGTCCAAATATCGCGAATTGTGATGATTGGATAAAACATTTTGATACATACTTATAAGATTGACCTAGCTGATTTGATTTCATCTCCTATTAAATGTAAGCTCAATTTGATTCGTAAAGATTCACGCCTTATGAACATAAGTATCTTAACATTCTCTCTTTGCTTCGTTAATATAGAATATTTTCATCATCTGAATAATAAAATTATTCCTTATGATCTAAGATAAACTCAATTGTTTTTTTTCTTTGATCCGAATTCCACTTTTACGAGACGATATCGTAAATTCCTTTAAAATCTGAATCTGAATCTGAAAAATATTTATAAAAGCATTCTTCATTATGATTTCATTAATTTATAGATTGTAGTTTTCAATTATAACGGCGCCTTCAGAATTTTGATATAATCACGTATTTTAAAATTTTTGATGCTTCACCTACTATTTCATCATTCGTCATCGATCGAAGAAAATTATACACGGATACTGCATTCAATAAATCCGTCTCGGGGTATGCATAAACAAAAAATTAAATCAACAAATAAAATGAATGAAGCAAGAGATATCAGACAAATTGATGCTGTATTGCCTCCATATGTATCTGATGATGAATTAACTCTTCAATTTACAAACGATGAAGTAAAAACAATTCAAATTAGGGCTTGGTCTTCATATATAACAATTGCTGTATTCAGAAATGCAAATATGTTTATGCTGATGATGCTCGAAAATGGAGAACCTTTGAAGCCTGTTTATTCATTAATAAATGAAAATGAACATGAATATGAAAAATCAATTTTTCTTAGAATAAAAGGTCGCCAGCCAAATTTAGTTCTTCAATATAATGGTATTTCAGAACGTTATTCATCTGATATGCATGTAAGTGTAGTTATCAATGTTAAAGATTTTACTTATGAATTGCCACAATTAACAAACTCACATTTAATAATTGCTTATGCAAATAAACCAACACATTATGTAAAAAGAATTAGTCAATCAAGTTATGGTTACTATCAAGGAAATCTATATTTTACTGATATCCATGAAAATTATGGGACTTGTGTTCATATTGATATGGAAAAAAGTGTTGAATATGAAATATCAGGAATATTTGATGTTGATGGTTGTCTTCCTGCATTTAAAGATGCTAAAAAAGTTGAAGTCATTTTTTCAGATGAACTAAAAACACTTAAAATTGATTCAACACCGATAAAAGTCATTTGTATGACAAAATGCGAACAGATTGTTGTTATGTCAAATGTTGCAGGAATCAAACGCGAAGATAATTACACAGATGATTCATCGATTCTTTCATCAACAAATGGACCACAAAATATATTAGTTTTCTTCATAAAGAAATCATTTTGGTCTTCCAAATATAATTATTCAGTTAACACAATGTCTGGTCAACAATCAGCATATTATTTTGAGTCTTCTAATACAAATCAATATATCTATTCTTATTCACCGTTTTCAGTGAAAGTAAGATATTATATAGGACCACAAAGTAAGTCTAGGAGTCATATTTATTGTAAAAATAATAACAATGAAATATTACTATCAGAAGATTTAAAGGAATCAGAAATTTATTCATGTAGTCATACAAACTATATTAACATTTTATTAATTGACGGAAGGATCGAACTTTCTGATTTTAAATTTGATGATCCAAAGATATCAAATGAAGGCTATCCTCAGTATGATAATGGAAATTTGAAGCCATTATGGTTACCAAAAACACAAACATCGAATGAAACTTCAGGTACTGATAATCAGAAGAATGTTTCTAGTAATAAAGCTCCAGCAGGTGCAATTTCTGGAATCGTTATTGGTATTATTATTGAAATTGCAATATTTATTATTGCATTTATTGTTATCCGAAAATACAAATCATCAACAACAAATACTGATGTAGGTGAAGAAGTTTAAATTTTCTTATTGAATAAAAATTTACATTTGATTTTTCTATATGAACTTCTATAAAAAATATATTGTCTTACAGAAATCTCCAAATTTAAACCATTTCATATAGTTTGATTGTGCAAAACCTATATTCTTAATATAAAATCACTCCCATTTCACTTTATCAAGAGTAGTAGGATAGGATGGGTTTTGTGACTTTTTTGTAAACGTAAGAATTCATACAATATCGAGCGATTTTGTATCATTTTTTTTAACATATGAAGTAAAAAATGTATGATTCTTACGGTTTTTATTCTTACGTTTTTGAATAAATCAAGATTTAAAAAATTTTCAAAATTGTAAGACATTTACACTCAGCCCATACATAATGAAATAAAAAATAAAATTTTTTAAAAAATAAACTTTAAAAATTCATGTCTTACGAAAAATTAAAACTTAGTTATGTTTATTATTTTATTTTTTTATTTTGTATGAAATGGGCGTCAAAACTAACAACGTTAAAAAATTAGGATTCACAAACGGGGAAATAAAGGATATATTAGAGGAGGTGGGTTATGAAGTTGATAAATATTATTTAAGAAATTGTCAAAAATTTGCCGAGTTATTAAATGATTTAGATTATGATGGAAAAATGAATAAAGATGATGTTATAAATTTCTTATATCCCACATCTGAAGAAGAAAAACCTAAAGAACCTGATGTTTTCCCTGAATATTATGAAGAACGGATTAAAGATGATGAATACAATGAAATTGAAAGACTGAAAAAAATAAGAGATGAAATAGATGAAAAAATTAAGGAATTAAGAGAAGTTGAAAAATATAATGAAAATGAAGTAGATGGTTTAATGAATATCCCAGCTTCAGAATCAGAAGTTCAGAAATCTCATGAAGAAAGATATAAAAATTATGTCTCAGAATCAACACAAAATTTATTAGATGGTGAAATAGACGAAACACTTTCAGAAGAAGGTACTAAATTTATTCGTAAACATAAGTTACAATTTATTGATAATGAAGAATACCCCTGTATCCTACTTTCACCACCTTTAGATTCCAAAAAATTCAAAAAAGCACTAAAAAACGTGACATATGCAACTAATACGATTAAGAAAGAAGATCATGATATTTACACAAATTATTATTTAAATAAATGCACGGGTGTTGATAAAGTTTTTGATTTATTAGATAAAATATCAAAAGAAACCATTGGAACCTATAAAATTTTGTGTGATTGTGGTTTCATTATTGAAGATACTAATAATGTTTCATATGAAAGAACAGCACCGAAGGAAGACGAAGTTGAAAGGTCTATACCATTCGTTATTAAGAACATAAAAGATATGAAAACTTATAAGCATTATATTTATTCATTTATTTCAGAAAAAATGGAAGCAACCCATAAAACATCTTCTCATCATTTTATAGCTATTCATACATTCCTTTTCAAAGTTGTGAAATTAAATAAGACAGGAATTAGATTTAATGTATCAGGGTACACATTCTTGAGTAAATTAAAATGTATTCGTCACATCGCGGATGATAAAAATTTATGTGTTCTTAATTCATTTTATGGGCTTTAAAAAATAAAGTTTATTTTTATTTATTTTTTAATTTTTTATTCTTACATAAATGAACAAAAACGGAACAGCTAAAATGAATGATAATCAAATTAGAGCAGAAGGTAGAAGGTTATTTAAACGCTTCTATAACATTCCTGATGGTGTTAATCCTAAAACTCGTAGAAGCTATTTAAACGAAGCAATAGATGCATATGAAGGGTTTGACATTTCATCAGAAAGTGAGAGATTAGCGAGAATGTTAAATGTTAATATTGATTTCTATTATTGTGATCCTCAACCAGAAGACGTGGACATAAATAAGGTAGACTTTCCATTAGTGGATTCAATAATGATAGATCCAGAATTTGAAACAGTAAATATTTTATTAACACAGAGTCCATGTGGAAAACTTCACGCTGACAGAATAACAGACGTTGAAGCACTCACCGGCTATAAAGTTTGTCCATATTGTAAAGAAGAAGTTTATTCTATCCGCGATGATCCAGAAAGGAAAAACCAAAGAAGATTTTTAAAGCATTGTGAGAAATGTAAAGAAAATAATGGGAGATTAATTCAATACGTTCAGTTGCAAAAGACACAGCAACCATATGCACCACATATTACGAAACAGAAGATATATCAGTGGTTATTAGCTCACAATTTGCAGAAATATTATAAACCGACAAGATATTATATTACTTTTGACTTTGAAACATTAGAGACTAAAGAAGAATTACAACTTTCTGAGTGTGCAACTTTGAATGCTTACTTAAAACCATTCATGGTGTCATCAACGGTTAAATTAAATGATAAAACATATACGAGGAATTTTTGCTTAACTTCGAGTGATTCTTTTATTTCTGATTGGATTGAGTTTTATTTTCAACCTGTTCATTAGTTGCTAAATCAAATATTGAACAATATGAAGAATTATTGAAGCCGCAAACGGTGGGGACTTTGTCTCATACATTAAATGAAAAACAGAAGGAAGCATTTAAAGAACTTCTAGATGAGGAATTCAATAAAGTGAATATCATAGGTTTTAATTCGGGAAAGTTTGATTTAAATTTAATTCTTCATGATTTAAACACTGCAAAATGGAAAATAAAATCAATGCTGGGTTCATCTTCACAATTTAAGCAAATCATTGTAAAGAAAACAAACGTTCCATATGAATTGAGATTTATTGACATCAGAAATTATATAGCGGGTGGGACATTAGACCAATTCACTCAAGATTTCGGAAACAATAAATCACGTGTTAAATCCTTTTTCCCTTATCAATTTATCACGTGGGAAAATTACGAAGAAGAATTATATAAAGTGGAACCATTCACGAAAGATTCATTTTATTCAGCATTAACTCAAGAAACTATATCAGATAGTGATTATCAAATATATCTCAATGATGCTAAAAATTTTAAGAATAGATTAGAATATTTTATTCATTATTGCAATAAAGATGTTGAAATTATGATTGACCCAATTAATAAAATTATTGAAGAAACATTTGTTTATAAAATTGACACACTTCATAATCTTTCTTTATCATCGAATGCTTCAATGATTCGTTACGCTTTAGCATATAAAGACTTTAATCCTAATGAAAAATATCCTGAGGAAGAGATAGAATCAAGTTTTGAATTAACGAAAAAGTATTGGAAATATAAAATTGAATCATATAAGAAACAAGATGAAAAAGCAGAAAGAGATACTAAAAATAATGTTTCAATGGATGATTTTCAATACTATCACGATTTAATCCTTTCATCTAAATGCAAAATGTGTGGTAAAGCGTTTACATATGCAAATAAACCAACATTGGATAGAATCGATAATGAAAAACCACATACCAAAGAAAATTGTCAGTTAATGTGTTGTTATTGCAATGTCGTAAAATCAAATAAAGATGAAGATGTTCAACGTTTAAGAATCAATTTAAGAAATTATGCATTAAAAAATAATTTACCAATGACTTTAGATTCAGTTGAAGCTTATCACATTCTCCGTAATGGAATTACTGGTGGTCTATCAAATGTTCAACATAGAGTAAATCTTAAAGGAATCACGCACATTAATAAATTTTCATATAGTCCAGAAACTAAAACTGTATCAAATGAGGACACCACCAACATTATGACTCATTTCGTTGGAGTTGACTTTAATTCATTATATCCTTCATCATTTTCATCTAATCCTCATGATTTCATTCAATATACTGACCATAAAATGTATATGCCGGGAAGATTGAATGGTGTTATCATTTGTGATACAGCAACAAAGAAAGCAAAAGCACTGGGAATTATTAAGAAGAAAAATACTTTATTCGTGGCTGAAGTAAAGGGTCACATTGATGAAAAATACATTAATGATTACATAAACTTTTTACCGATAATAAGAAACTTAGATATTATCACAGATGAAAAAACAATTGGCAGTTTTATGTATAATTACATGAAATCAAACAATCTACCAGTTGACCAGAAACAGAGGAAATTAACTCAGTTAGCATCAACACACAACCAATATCAACCATTTTCTTCTTATTATCTTTGGTATCTAATAGACAGATTTCATTTTATCATTGATGACATTCAATCAATTTTAACATTTACTAAAAACACTTGTTTTAATGAATTTGCGAACGAATTTATGAACGAAAGACAAAAGGCTGAATTAGAAGGAAATAAAGGAAAAAGTTTATTTTGCAAGATTTCGCTTAATGGATCATATGGTTACGATGCAATGAATACACAAAATTACGCAAAGACTAAAATAATGAATGCACAGAAGGCACGCGTTGCATGTATGTCAAATAAGTTTAAAAACATAAGAGAAATAGGAGAGGATACGTATCAAGTGATGCTCAAATATAGATTTTATAGATGTGATACATGTTTACAAGAGGCATTCTTCACTTTAGATAACGCAAAATACTGGTATTTGGTTTTCATTTATGATTTTATGTATAAATGCATGAATCTTAATCGTTTTCATTTCATTGAAGGTGATACTGATTCATCTTATTGGGCAATCGCTGGCGATCCAAATCTTCCTAACACTCAAGCATTTCAAGCAATTGTTACCGATAAACAATTTTATGATAAAAACATTTTCAAATTCGCACCTTTTGATTTCTTCTGTTTTGATGAGAAATTTAAACCTAAATTAAAGAATAAAGCTGAAGAAAAAGCACATGAGAAGAAGTTATTGGGTTTAGCAATTGAGAAACAAGGTGATAACATGGTTGCTTTATGCCCCAAGTGTTATACATCATTCAATGGTTCAATTGATGGAAGTGATTTTAAAAAGATTGCACAAAAAATGAAAGGTGTTAGTTTACGACAAAATAAACAATTAACACCTAAAAATTATTTGGATATAATAAATGATAAAGTGATATTTGATGGTCAGAATATTAATTTACAACTTAAAAACGGGTCAATGACTCGCTTAACAATCGGTAAGACTGCATTAACAGGAGCACACACTAAGGCTGTATGTTGTGAAATGGATGTTGTATGCCATTTATTTAATACAATTTAAAAACGTAGGGGTTGAGTCATGAATTTAAAATTTTATTTTTAATAAAATACCACAGAAGAGACAAAAGGAACCGTTAATGATGTGATTCAATATGTAAATAATGGTTTTGATACTATGATTCAAAGAGGTGGGCACCCTTAAAACATTTATTTTATTTTTATATAAATGGATAACGTAGATTTAGAAATTTTAATTGATGATTTAGTATTTAATCAAAATTTTCTTAATTATTATGATTTAAAAGCATATCTCCAAAAACATAATAACAATATAACGGGTGATGATATGGGTTATTATTATCAGTATTATAAAAATGAAATTTTGAAATATCATGATAAAATAATTTCTAAAATTAAAGACAAAATTAAAAATAATGAATATACAAAGGGAAAAACTAAATCACAACTTAAACAATTGAAAGATTTCAAAAATAAAATATTAACAGAAGAAGATATTGATGAATTATATAAATTATATAATCCTGAGCCGCAAAAGCCAAAGGAACAAAAGCCAAAGAAGAAAAAGCCGAAAACAACACCAAAAGAGAAAGTAGCAAATGTTCAACAGCTAAAGGTGCAAAACGCCCAGGTCCTTCAGACCATAAATGATGCACAAGCTTTAATTTATGATTCATTAGTTAAACCATATTCAGCCCAACTTTTAAATGAAGATCAACTTTTGGAATTCATCCTTCAACATAAACTCGAAGTGGGAAAGTATATCAAACCTTTATATACAACATATTTAAAACAAATGAATAGAATACATCCAGAATTAATGAAAGGAGGAATGAAATCCAAAACTTCATCATCCAAAATCAAAGCAGATAAAATTAAACCACTTGCAACACCAAAACCTCCAACGGTAGTACCTCCTCCTTCAGTTAATCCTTCATCATTCACTTTATTATATCCATTTCAAACATTAAAGAAGCAAAAAGATTTTAAAAAGGATTTCAAAATATTAAATAAACCAACTGACCCAAAAATTCAACCGTTAAAGGAAAAATTTAGTCGCCCTTCATTTGCACCATATCCATATTCATACGAAATCGATCATTTAGAATATTCAAAAGGAAAAGTTACTTATTTATTTACCATTAACATTAACACCAGATATTTATATTGCATTCCGGTGAAAGGGAAAACAGAACAGGAAACAAGAAGAGCTATTCAATACTTACTAGATCATGAAAGAGTAGATAATATAAGGGGTGATGGTGATAAAGGATTTCAGGCAGCTATGGCTCATTATTTCCCACAAATTAATTTTTACTTTTCATCCTCTCCATATACGTTTCATAATAAAATAGTTGATGCGGTAATGAGAACTCTTAGAGATGCGTTAGGGGTTAACGGTCAGATATACTGGGATGGAAATCATGACTCCATCATACAACAGTTAGTATATTATTACAATAATACATGGCATAGAACTATAAACATGAAACCAGTGGAAATGAAAAATGATATTTCAAAAGAATGGGAATATATTAGAAAGCAAATGGAAAGGTTAAATGATGTTAAACGTGAACAAATTAATTCGGGGCTCATGAATTTTAAACAAGGGGATAAAGTTTTGATTCATCTCGATTATGGAAAAACTAATAAATCAATGACAAAAAGAAGACGAAGATTTGACACAATAGCTGAATTTGTTAGATATATTAACGGTAATGTATTAGTTGAAGTTGACAATAAATTAATAGAAATTCCGATTTATTTTATTACTCCATTATATTTAAATAATATTTAATTTTTTTATTTCGTAAGAAATGAGTGACAACAAAGCATCCAAGAGTCCTGATTCAATTAAGATTCAGAGTCCAGACGATGAATATAAAAAGAAACTAAACAGAATTAAATCAAAAATATGCTATTACAAAAAGAAGCCGCAATGTGGTGGGGCTGAAAACGATAAAGAGAGGAAAGAAATAATCGAAAAATTAGAAACTTACCGTTCAATCCTTAAACTGAGTGAAGCAAAAATAAAAGAATTTAATAGAATAAATAAATTGATTGGAAGAGATGAATTTAATAAAGATGAATTTTTAAACTCAATCCAAATTTAATTTTTTCAGTGCTACCATGTTACCATGTGCTACCATGTCAATTAACTTCTCTTAAAAATGATGACAACATGACATTTTGACAACAACACAGGAAATAAATGTTATCGTTTATGTTTTCATTAATGATTTTAGGTTATTCAATAATTAATTATTTTTGAATAACTGAAGGTGTCACTACGTCACCATGTGTCACCAGGTTAATTAACTTCTCTTAAAAATGATGACAACATGATATTTAGACAACACAGCAGGATTAATGCAAAAATAAATTCAAACTTCATCGTATATGCTTTGTGAATGTCTTACAAACACGTATGAATATCTTATGCGGTGGGAAGCCAGATGGAAATAAATTTACGTCAAATATGCAATTTATAAAATCTTATGTCGACAGGCTACGTAGCACAGTGGTCTAAGGTGGTGTTATGGAGGGGTCAGGGTCTGTGGTTCGAACCGCGACAGCGCCGTATTTTCTTATTTTCTTTGTTTGTCTTGTTTGTTGTGAATAAAAAGTGTCATAAAAGTGCTCTATCTTCCACGGGAATAAATAAAAAATTTACTTTATTTCTTCTTTATTTCTTTGTTCCCGTGGAAGAAGGGTTTTGCTGTTTTTTCTCAGCCGAAATCAATGATTTTTTCATTTTTGGAATCCTTAGCGAATGAGGAATCTTTTCTCTCGTGGAAGCTTTGACCAAAAATATAATTGAGGTGAAGAGGTGAGATCTCACCTGTTTTTTCACCTGTTTTTTCACAAGCTTTTTACATGAATTGTACGATGTATATTTGAAATCCTAAACAATTTCGTAGCTTCTATTTCTTCGCTGAGGATATCAAAAGTTTTAACAATGCCGAAAGTTTCTTTATACTTCTTCTTGACGTCAGATAAAAGGAAATCTTCTGCTGTTGGATAGTTTTTATTAAGAAATGTCAACATATCCATTTTATCTTCTGCTGGCTTTTCTGCTTCTTTCTTTAAGTCTGCATAGTCGTTTCGCATGCTTTCTATCTCTTTGACTGAGTAGTTATATTTTCTTATTGCTGCTTTACATTTTGAACATTGCGGCATCGTTTTTGCGTTATACATTGAAATAAAACCAGCTAGAACAACTAAGGCGTCAATGGTTTTCTTTAACTCAAAAGCTGCTGGTTTTATCTGTTCATTCCATACTTTACCTCTTCTATCTTTATCTCTTATCTGCCATACACATTTTGCAACTAATGAAACAAAGTTATCGTATGTCTTAAATTCTTCGGATTTGTAAAGGTCAGAAATATTTTTATAAACCATGTCGCAATCTTTGTCCATAACTTTATGGTTGCAATGAAAACCAAGGAATTCATAATTTACTTTACGTATGAATTTCTTAATTTCTACTGAGTCAGTTGCTTTGACTTCAATTTCGTCGAATTCAGGAATAGTTAGTTTTTGCTGCTGAATTTCAGGTAGTTTAGGCAAATGGTCGATGAGGTCCTCCATTTCATAAAGATACTGTTCATTTGTTTCATCTTTCGCACTACAGTCTAAATTACTTGTTAAAAGTTCTTGCTTTATCTTCTGGATTTCTGTTTCAAAAGTATATGAAGAAGGAATAAAGCTTTTCATCTCTACCAACATTGACGTAGGATTCATGACTAGCGAGTTTGGTGCTGTAGTTGTGGCTTGAATTGTTGTTGTGCCGATTGTTGAAATCATATCTTTTATACAAAATAAAAATAATTTTAAAACTAATTTTAAAACTAACTTTATTTTTTCTATCTTAAGGAAATTCATGAAAATTCACGAGAAAGCTAAAGCAATCTGAGCCGCTAAGCGGTGAGGGTGAAAAAACGGGTGAGATCTCACCTCTTCACCTCAATTATATTTTTGGAATTTTGTGAAAACTCAACGGTTTGACACATGCCATATGCTATTTTACTCAGAATTTTGTGCTGAATTCAATAAAAATAAATGGTTCATTTACTCACAATATTTTTGTACAAAACGACCCCAAACTTTTAACTTCTTTTCTGCAGTTTCTAATGCTATCTTAGCGAGTTCATATTCTCTAAATTCTCTCTTTAAATCTTCTTGTTCCCATTGGTCTAGTTCGTATGGAGAATCTCTATAACCATAACATATCTCACGTTCATGTTCTAATTGTTTTTCGCACATTTTTCTAACTTCTTCTTCAAACAAATGTTTAGCATTTTCTACTGTATCTTCGAGTTCTTCTTCATCTAACTTCTCATGAACTTTCTTGTCTATGGAGTCCATAATTTTTCCAACTGCTATGCAATATTTTGGAGAAGCCCACATTGCTATATAGTTTATAAGTCTTGGGTCTACATACGTTCCTCTAACCTGTTTGATTTCATCAGGAATTCCGCATGAATTTTGTATAAAAACCAACAGTCGAATTCCGGCGGTTGCTATATTCTTCAAAAAGCCTTATAATACTCTTCCCAGGACTTATTTTCCAACAACTTTCTAAAGTCTTTCCTAAACTGCTGACACATCTTTGTTGCATTAATGTAACCATCCTTGTCTCTACGTAAGACTTCAATACCGTTATAAGTGCCTTTTGTGAATGTTTCGCCATTAGATTTGTTCGTGAACGTCTGTACTTCGACTGACATTTCTGTTCTTACATACAAAATAAAAAAAAAATAAAAATAATTCATAAATGCCTTCCTCCTGAACTGTTGTCAAAATGTCATGTTGTCATCATTTTTAAGAGAAGTTAATTAACCTGGTAGCACATGGTAACATGGTAGCAGTGAAATAAAATTTTGTTATCAGTTATTTTATCATCATTTTATTAAGTTCATCTTTAGTTAATAATTTGAATGGATTCGCTAATGTTCCACCTTGAGTCACAACACTTGCCCCGGCTAATTGTGAAGAACCTGGGATAAGTACTCCATGAAATGATTTCATTGGTATCATTAATTTAGAAATAGTTGGCTTAATTAATTTTGTCATTTATGATAAAAATAAAATTGCATAATTTAAATTTTTTTCTTTCTCATTTTCTCATTTTCTCATTTTCTCATTTTCTCATTTTTCATCCTGTTTTGGTTTCAGCAACTTTTCAAGTTGTTGTCTTGTCAGTAACTTTAATTTTAACTTTGGATCAAATATTGGGTTTCCATCTTTATCTCTTTCAATAACACCATATGGTAGAATCTTCATTTATACTAAAATAAAAATTTAAATTATGCCGTTCGCTCTTTTGGAGCTCAGGACTTTCAGTCCGTTCTAAAGTTTGTTTCACAAACATTGAGCGTTCATTGAACTCTATACCATGTGAATACAGTCATAAATGGTGGCATATAATCTTCACCCGAGCCTGTTGGATGTGTTGTGAAAGTGTGTGAATGATTTCCTGTGGTTCCACAGAAAATACCTGCGCTTGAATCTACTGGGTCGCTTGAAATATCATATCTATCCATTCCCTGTCTATCCGAACCTGCTGCAAGATTTCTATAACCTCTTTTTGTTATTGAATGTGAATGATTACCTGTTGTGTTTGTAGTTCCTGTATGAGTGTGCGGTGGAAGGTTTGCTTCTTTAATTTTCTTCGAACCTCCCGTTTGCTTTGAATATCTAGCACAGTATAAGAATTTATCTACAATCTGTTCCCAAGTACCAAAACCTAAAACTGTTGCTGGATTTGTTGAATAATTCATTGACGTATAAATAGAACCAATGGGGTAAATCATCTCAAGAATTGTATTTAATCCATTATGAATATTGAATTTATTATATAATATTGAATTTGGGTGAGTATTTAAAACTGGTCTTGTTATCAATATTAACGTATTATTTTTGAAAATTGCTTTTCTAACATCTTGAAATTTTTGATTTCAGACCAGTTTCTTCCATCACTACTGATGTTTACTAAATCACCACATCCTAAAGCAATGAAATACCCATCAATATAAAATAAATTTGTAAATCTATAATTTCGAGTAAGTTTTGGAGTGAATGAATAAACCAATTCCTAATTTGATAAATCTTGTGATAAATAAATATGTCTGTTATAACTTACAGGATATGAATAGACCATTTCACCTGAAACGAGAACATAAACATTTGATCCATAACATAAAGCTTCAATGTCTCCATCAGCTTGAAAAATTTGTTCAAATTGACCTTGTGGTATTGAAGATGATCTATAAATTTTATCATTTTGTAGGATAAAATACATGTTGTTAATGTAATACCACTTACTTGTATAATCAATTTCCAAATCTGATGACATCATACTAAACATTTAATAATTTATCCCATCCTCACTAATGAAAATTTGATTGACTTCATAATTAGTACCATTTATTATTAACACATCTAATAGGATTATTTGGATATTTAAATTTAGCATCTTGATTTAAATTACATTTGAACCATTGGATACAATCGAATGAATAACAAGGGTAAAATCATCTCCAACCGTTATCATTCCCATAAATTTACCGTTATTATATTCAACATATAAAATTCTTGGATTAATGATTGACTTTCGTGTATCAGGATTCCAAACAGATGGAGTAAATGATTCATAGTTTTTAAAATCATTTGTTTTAAAATAATAAAGCACTCCAGCTGTATAAAATAAATACATGGTCACTCCATCGAAACATATCCATTCAAAAGAATCTATATCAAAGGTTTTATCTGATGATTTCATAAAATTTAAAAATGGTGGAGTAAAATAGACCTCTGATTGTTTTATTTCTTCATTAACAAATGATATATCAGCTTTCTTTGCTAACTCAGTATTAATGAATGAAATAACTTTTTCCTTATCCGCCTTCTTCTCTAACTCATCATTAACATAAGTTTTATCTGCTTTAAGGTCTAAACATCCCGAAACCCATGCTGTATCAGCTTTAACTTTAAAAGTCTCAAATGTCCATTCATGATACCATTCAACCTTTTCTTTAATTTCATTATCTTTTTCATCAACATAAACCAAATTTGCCTTCTTATTTAACTCACTATCCACATATTCCTTATCTGCCTTCTTATTTAACTCACTATCCACATATTCCTTATCTGCTTTCTTCATTATGTCGTTTAGGAAACCTTCTATGAATTCCTCATTTAAATTAAATCTTCCAATCTTCAAAACTTTAGGAAATGCATTTAATGCGTAATATCTCTGTTCTTCTGGTGGAATTGATGTTATATCATCCGTTATTCCTTTAATTTTTGAATTCATAAATAAAATTTCTTTTATATTTGATATCATTGCACCACCTTTGCAAACGAATTCGAAATGGTCATTTTTCAATACTATCTCCAAATCTCCATATTTCAACCTTTGCGTTTGTTCTGCCGTCTTTGAATTATATGCATATGTGGCGTATGTAATGGTCTGAAGGACCTGGGCGCTTTGCGCCTTAAGTTGCTGTGGTTGCTGTTGTTTAATCATTTATTATGATTTAAAAATAAATATTTAATCCGTTATCTCATCAGCTATTTTCTCTATTTGAAATTGCCATAATATTTCATTCATAAATTCTAAATCACAATCAAATAGGTCAGTTATTCTAAATTTAATATTTGATAAATCTTTTGAATGAAGAATAAATGAATTCCCGGATAATTGAAACGGATATGATAAAGAAAATGTGTTTAAGTTGATGGATAAAATGTTTTGTATTGATGGGTAAGAGTTAGGGTCTAATGTTTGATGTGAAAATCTCATTGGGGTATTAACTTTATCACATTTGATTAAAATGAAATTGGAACCAGTGTCAGAATACAAAACATCCCCAACATCTTTTTCAAAATTTAATATCCCCAACAATGAACGAAGATGAGGAGTACAAAATTTAATTTTCAGCGGAAATTTAATAAGGTTATTTATTTCATCAAGTTCAAAAAGTTTATCAGGTTTTGATTTAAAATTTTCTTCATACCATACGATAAATGATTCATTTAAATAACTTAAAATCATGTTAATATCCCATTTCGCTATCACATTATTTATATACATATCATACGTTTTTTCATGGTCATCTTTAATAAATGATATATAATCTGAAGGGTCTAAAAGAATGGGATTAAATTTACCACTCACAGAAACGAGAGTAACATTATAAATTCCGCTAACTGTTAAATTTAATTCACAGTTATTATTCGAAATAATATTGATAATTGACATTTTTATTACGATTAAAAATATGGTAAAGCGTTATTTTCCAGTGATAAATAAAACTAGAATAAGATTACCTCAAGAATTCATAAATTCAACGAATAAGAAATTCATTCATGTTATAAATTTTAGTGTTTTCAGAAAATATGAGTCAGTGTCATATTCATCAACAGGTTATATTTCACTTCATTCAAATTTAGTTCAATCAAACCCATATAATGACCATTTCATAAGATTTTCAGATGGTATTAAAAATGTAATTGATAGATTAAAATATGAACAGATTGACAATATCGAATTTTTGGAATTTTGGTTTAAATATCCCGATGGAAAAAAGATTGAAGTTAAAGATAAAGCGGATACTATAACAAAAACAATTACAATGACCGATCCGGATAGTGGGGAACAAAAAGAAATAAAACAAACGATAGAAACTGGTGAAAGGTCAATTATTATTGATTATGATTCAAAGGATTATTATTCGATAATGTTAATGCTTGAATATTAAATAGCCTTAACAAAGAATTTTTCAAGTGATATTTTATATTCATCAACTATTTTATTATAAATATCATTATATGTTAAATGAAGTTCAGTTGTTGTTCCGTTCTTTGTTATCTTAATTGTGCTAATATCCTTTATAGGATTTATTTTTGCAACTGTTCCGCAGCATGAAACCTCATCATCTATGAAAAATTGAATCTTAACGTCTGAATCTTGAACATCACAAAGAATGGCGATAATGTGAATTAATGATTCATAAGGTAAAATAATTAAACCTGATTGGTCAATTAAATTTATTATTGAATCATAATTATTAATTATTATATCACGGTAAATTTTCATTAATTCAGAATTAATGTCTATTTTATATGGGTTCTCGATGTTTGATGAAAGAGGTGGGGGGTATGTTGGATAAGTGGGAATTTCAACAGGTTCTTTACCGGGTTCAGATAAAATGATTGGGTCTCCATTCTCATGGTTTTCTTCATTCTCCTCATTCTTCGGTAAGTCACGAGTTAATAAATTTGGTTGAGTTGCTGACCTTGTTAATTCGGGGCTAACATTAACTTTAACATTTTGAATAATTCGTGATTTATCATCATTTACGTTATAACCAACCGTAATCTCTGCTTTTGCGTTAGTGTTCTTTTGACTAGTGAAACGTCTTCTCATTTATATTCGAATAAAAAAATATATTTAAACTTTTATTTTGCTGGAACTTTTGAATCTATTATTCCCTGTATTTGTTCATGAAGTTGATTTTTAGCTGTTTCATCGTAATTAATAGACCGAATATATTCATTAATTGCATTCTTATAATCATCTGATTTCTCAAATTTTCTTTTATCCGATTCCTTAACTAAATCATAAGTTAAACCTCGTTGCTGATATAATGGTTTCTTAATTAAATCTTTGAATGCTTGAGATAAAGCACCCGATGCAATTCTTGCTACTATAATTGGTTGGAATTGCTGTTTAAGTTCATCTTTAACATTTGCGAAAACTGGATCGAATAAAGCAACTTTAAAGAATTTCTTAGCTGAAATTTCAGGTCTAATATTTGCATATTGACCATCAAACTGGTTAGAATATTGTGGTAATCCATCCGGTCCCTCTTCAATAGCATTTAATTCTTCATTGAAATAAGAATATGGATTATGACGGTATGAATTAATTGGACCATTTTCACCTTCTCCAATGTATTGTTTAACAGCTTTTCCATTTTCATCAAATTGCATAGGATAACGTTCATTATATGCTTTACGTTTAGGATAATCAGATATAGTTAATTTATAACCATTTATGACTTTAATATTACCTTGACCATCAGTAACGAAAACTTCATTTATACCATCGGGTTTTCCATTTGGACCGTGACGTTTGGCATATGCTTGAGCTTCTGGTAATGTTAAAACGTTTCTCATTTGTTTAACATCTTTTTGAAGACCAGCAACAATATGAACTAATTCTTTCATTCCATCAGGAACTTTCATAGTTCTATTATATGCACCCTTTTTGTTTGTCCCTTGTTTTAATGGAACCTGTAGAAGATTTGCTATTTCTGTCATGTTTAATTATAAATAAAAAATAAAAATTAATTATAAAAAGTTAATCAAATTTAACACTTCCTTTATTTAAATCAACTATTATTTTTCCATGTTCTCCTAATTGCTGATATTGTGTGTAAAGTTCATTAATGCTCATTGGTAAATTCACTTGATAAAGCATAACGTTCAACTGTTGACGACTAAACCCACTGAAAATGAAAAGTGTTGATAGATTTGATTTAATGTTTGTGCTTAATGCTTTGAAGTATTGAACAGCCATGAAGAATGAATGTGTCGACATTGAGTTAATAACTGATTAAAATATGATTTCTCATTTGTTATTAGTTTTGATTTCACTGCATCATCTAGAAAAATGAGTGAATGCAAAAATTCTCTATCAAAATTTGAAATAGAAAGTGTTTCAAATAATTCATCCCGTTGTTTATCAATAATTTTATCCTCTAATCCTTGCTTCTTGATTGTATTATATAATTCTTTATACATTAAAAAGTTTTTTAAATAATCTTCTGCTTCTTCTTGTGATAAATAAATAATTGGAATTTTGATTAAATGCTTTAAAGATTCAAATGTATCATCTGAAGGTGAACCTGAACGGTTGATATAAATTAACACATGTGAATGGGGGGAAGTGTTAGCAATAATGATAATTTGTTTTAATATCGTTAATGTTTTACCTTTATTTTGTTTACCAATTGCTGCAGTGGTTGAATTTAAGTAACATTCAGAATATGGAATTTTCATTAATTTTTCCTTAGATAGAGCATTTCTATTATCACTCAATGCTTCATTAATCATATCATCTACGTATGTATTATATGCTCCTGCTAATTCTTCATAAGGGGTGGATGAATTTAAATCCATTTAATCAAAAATAAATTTATAATTTTAAACATTTCTATTCATCAATATTTCATCATATGAACTTCTATACTGCGGTGGTGTACCTGTTGGATGATATTTCAAACCTTCGTCCGGTGTCCATGTCCAATATGTAGTCCTAGTAAACCAAACCTGAGGAGGATTTGTCACCTTTGAACAGTAAGTGTCATTTTCACCCTGAATGATTGGATAAGCTTTCACTTGTACTGTAACTTGTGAGTTGAAAGTTTCTAATCCATCAAAGAATATACCCGCTCCATCACGTTGAACTGGAATAGTGCATAAGAATGAAGTTTGGTCTTTCCATGTTCTAGCTAATGGTGTGTCATCATCTGCATTCAGTGGTCTAGTTAATGAGTCCTCGTATTCTTCTGTGCATTCATTCACTCCATCTAAATCAGAAGCTTGAAGCATACGTGTAAAGAATATGTCGCCCACTGTGGTCATCGCTTGATCGGGGAAGTTTCTGGAATCTATAGTGACCTGAAGACCTCGAAGCATTGGATTTTCTAAAACTGTTCTTTGCATTGCATTCTTCGGAAATGTTAACACAACATCTGTAACATTATGAAGAGCGTATGAGAAATCTGAGCTAATACCTTCAGGAGTGATGCAACCTCCATTTAGTGAACGAACGTCAATATGTTGAGCTGGAATCATGAATGGATCTTCCTTACTGAATAAACGTGGTATTGCTTTAACTGATTCTTCAATTAAACCGTATCCTGGTGTAATGCATTTATCCTCTAAAACTTCCATCTTTGTGCATGAAATAATAACGTCATCAACTGTTGCGTCAGCAGATGTAGCGGCTAAGCTTGTAATTAATTTGGCAGGAAGTCCGATTTGTTGGAATTTGCGATCATATTTATAAACATGATTCATAATCTTTTCATAATTTTCATCAGTTATCTTTTCATAAACGTAATTTTGTAAATCAGCAACTCTTAACGGGTCAACCTGACAAAATACTAAAGTATCCCTGAAAACATAATATTTAAGAATGATATCACCAAATGATTTAGGATAATCATCGAACGCCTGAAATGCTAACAAATCATTTACCGGAATAATCATATCAAAAGTGACATCAACTTCTTCATTTGCTTTCTTGAAAACTTCTGAAGGGTCAATATATTTACCACATACTGAGTTATCATATTTTTGAACATTATTATATAACGAATGAACAAACTTTTTAACTTTCCTTTCTGATTTTGGTTTATATGTTGCAAATGCGAAAGATTCACGGGCGCAATCCATCTGAAGATAACCGGCATCACCTCTTTCGGTTTCTACTTCTAATTGTTTAAAGCTTTGATTTGATGATTTGTAACCAACGAATAAACGCATGCATTTAAAAGCGGCATCACATGTGAAAGCTTTATTTGAAACTAGAGTTGCTTTAACTTTGCGTTTAATATATGTGTCACCTAATTGGTTCACATCATGAGCTGGATTTGTAATTCTTAAATGAGTTTGTTTATCATCAAAATATGGAGCATCAGAGTCATAGCATGAACTTTCAAGTTCTCTATAATATCTTCTACCATCATTCTTTGCGAATATTTCATTTATCTTTTCGAATGAATGAAATACATTTCCATTAATCGGTTTGGTGTTTGGTACTAAATAGTTAGTCGTCATTTATTAATAAATAAAAAATCAAAATTAAAAGATGAAAATGAATTTTTAATTTTAATGAAATAATCAACTATGGCTGCGGGTATATTTAAGAAACTGTGGGATAGAGTAAAAAGAGGGGCGAGTAAAGTTTGGGAAACATTGAAGAAGGGAGCAAATTGGATATTTAAGAATAAAGAAGCAATTAGTGACGTTGCTGAATCAATAACACCAAAAGCTGCCCCAATAAGAGAAATTTTAAATAAAGGAGAAAAAGTTTATCAAAGACTACAACCGATACTAAGATAAAAATAATTTTAAAATAATTTATTTTTTTATCTCACTATCTACCTCCTATTTTATTAAGTATTCCTTCAGCAATTCCACCAACTGCGTTACCTGCTTGTGCTCCCATCGCCGGATTACCTGCTTTAGTACCTAATACCCCACCTATGATAGTTCCTGCCGTTTTCGCTACTGGTGCCAAAAAGTTTGCAACGGGTTTAATAATCTTTTTATAAACCCAACCCGCAGCTTTCTTAATTCCATCCCATAATTTTTTAAAGAATCCTGCCGCCATTTCTGATTTAATATTAATTAAAAAAATATATTTCATCACTTATATTCTAATTTTTATTTAATGATAAATGAAACCGATTTTAAAAATAAATGAAACAGAGGAGGAAGAAATAAATGAAAGTGAAAATGTTCAACAAAAAATAAACGTTGTTAAACCAATTACTGAAATAAAAATTTTTTCATCTGTTGAAGAATTTAATGACTATTATGCTAATAATAAAAAATTATTTGAAGAATTGACAACGTGTAAATTGAATAAAATGTTTAAAGTTGATGGATTCAAAACTTCAAAAATAAAAGGGGTGGTTAGTTTGAAATCTATTCCTCAATCAAGAATCACCTCATTAATGAAAATTGATGATTTAACAAAAAGAATAGAAGAGATTGAAGAAAGAATGAATCAAATAATTGATTTCATAAATTCAAATAATCATTAGTTTCTTAAAGTTCAATGTTGAACTCATCAAATTCATCTTCATCATTACCATTACCTTTAGCGAGTTTATTTACTCTTTCAACTTTATCTTTTGATAGTCTTTCGTTTAATTTTTTCTGAAGTTTTTCGTTACCAAGTTCTAAAATTTTACATGGATGATATTTAAACCTGTTAAATTCTTTTTCCTCAGTTTTAATCATTAATCTACAAAGAACTTTAGTGAGGTGGTTTTGTTGTTTAAACCATTTATCCTTAATATTTGTTATAAATTCAATATCCGGAATTAATTCCCAAATTTTTGAATTTTCGATTAATTTACCATCAAATGCAAAAGCAATAGGTTTAATATTAAACTTACCTTTATAAAATAAACTTTGTACGCAATCATCAAAATAAACGTCTACTTGTTTAACCTGGGTGAGAATTGGTGAAAGTTTATCCATTAATTGATTCACAGTCACGAATTTTGAGCTGTTCATTTCATACAAAATAAAAAAATAAATTATTCAAAAAATGTAAGACATGAATTTTTAAAGTTTATTTTTTAAAAAAATTTTATTTTTTATTTCATTATGTATGGGCTGAGTGTAAATGTCTTACAATTTTGAAAATTTTTTAAATCTTGATTTATTCAAAAACGTAAGAATAAAAACCGTAAGAATCATACATTTTTTACTTCATATGTTAAAAAAATGATACAAAATCGCTCGATATTGTATGAATTCTTACGTTTACAAAAAAAGTCACAAAACCCATCCTATCCTACTACTATCAAGAATATTCTATTCAAAAGTTATTGCCCATATTGTAATTCAACTCCGCTGTTTTGCTGATAATATAGAATGATTCAAACATTCAAAATTAGTACTTGAAATTAATTTTAATTTTGAATTATAGGAAGGAAGTTCAATATGGTGTTACCCCCTTTCATTTTTAAAATTTAATTCGGGAGTCTTTTTGGCTCTAAACCAAGTTCAAATTAATTGCTTTTAGAAAACATGTTCATTGTGAAGAAGTTACAAATAGTATTTGGCGTCTTTATTATGAAGGAATTGATCCTCCTTCTTCAGTCATTACAGGTGAAAACCAACAAGTTCCTACAACATCGAGCAAATGCTTTGCATACATCTGTAAATTTATCAACTTACAAGATAGAGCAGTTAAATTCGAAAATACAAAAGATTACTCGATTTTACTTTGCGAAAACGTTTTTTCAAAAGGTCCAGGTACAGTATATATTGAAAATTCTAATAATACTGCCATTATTATTGATAAATTCTGTTCATTTGAAAGTAAATCTACTGTATATGGCCAATTTCTTCATTTCAAAGGTAAAATCAACAGTACAATCCTCCAAGGATCAATTTGTAATGGAGGATATAGTTCAGTAGTATGTATGATTTACCAAAATCAAGGTTTTGGATCACTTTCAAAAACAAACATTTCTAATTGTATTTCATATCAAAAAACAGGTTTTGAATATGACGAAGTTGAATCAACAGTAAATGTTTCATTTTGTAATTTTGAGAATTTAAAAGCAACTGACGGATTGATTACTTGGTTTGATGAATGTCCAGGAAGAATTGACCGATGTAATTATATAAATAATTCTCAAAATCATAAAGATTGGGGAATTGTTTGTGTTTTTGGTTATAGACTTGATATTTTCGATTCATCTTTCCAAAACAATCCTCAGATTAACAGAGGAAAATTATTTGAAACAAATTGGGATGGGCATATTTATATACATCAATGTAGTATTGATGATTTATCAACTGATGGAACAGTTGATACATCAGAAAGAGGAGAAGTTTCATTTAAGAATAATTTGACATTCATTGGATTACGTCCATGTGAAGGAAATCTTGAAATAGTATTATTATTTGTTCCAAAGAAAGAAAATAAAATTTGTTCATTTTGTCCATCAATGAATTTTCTTTTTGGTAAATATCATATTTCTATTTTGTTTATTAGTACTTCATAAAAATTAATAATTTTCCATATCTTCTGCATTTTTTAAACAAATAACGAGAAAAATATAGAAATAATAATGATATCAATTCGATCATAGTCAATGGTAACTTCATGTATAATGTTGTAAACCAAATAGAAATATTGTAAAAATTATTAAATTCTGTTTATAGTAGTCTTGGGAATTAATTCTAAATTAAAGGGATGATTTTGAAAGTCTGGCGTAGTTTGTATTTTAGAGATAAATCCAAAAATATCAATTCTTTCATAGGAGAAAAATATCTTCGGGTGTTAAGTTGTAAACTAAGGCAGTGATCTTTTAACACATTATAATAAACTTTAAAATATTAAAAAAAATATTATGTTTTTAATCATACTCATTTTCATATGCACAAAATGATGACATTGGATCAACAATACCTTCATAAACTGTTTGATTGTCAATCATATCAACTTCGAAGTCTTTGCAGAACTTGTTGATCATTTCTGTGCAATCATCCAGATCGGATTTGATTTTATCGATTTCGTCACCGGATTCAAATTCAATCAAAAGTTCGTTCACTGCTCTTCGATGTTGTTTAAGTGCTTTAACAAGACATTCGGAGAACTTAGAAACGTTTTCTTCAAGAAGTTCTGGATACTTTTGTTTGATAAAACTCAAACAGTCACGTGCACAGTTAGGATGTTGCAATGTTGTATAAAGCATTTCTTTGTATCGACAAAGATCTTTTCCGAAAATAACCATTGGTGAATCCTTGAATGCACCAATGGGCATAGAAAGATATGGATCGAAGTCTTTCACAAGTTGATCAAGAGATGTGAATGCTCGGTTCAATGTATTAACACATAATTCTTTAACACGAACTTCCTGGATCTCGATCTTCTTGATAGAAACACCTTGATGATAAAATGGTAATTTTTCTGATGTTTCGATGTAAAGAGTTTTAATAGGATTCTTCAGTTCTTCAGATGATTTCTGTGATTGTTTATTGATAGAAACAACTGATCGGAACTTATCCCATGAATGAGGAGCTTCATCACCTTCGATTTTATCATCCGATGGCTCTAATTGGATCAAACAAATACCATCACCTTTGCATTCCTCATGATGATCGCAATAATCTGTTGGACAAACAATTCCTTCGCGATTCTTCAGTTGTTGAACAAAATGGATTGTTTCCGTCTTCTTGCAGCAGTATATTCGTTGATCTTTCTTGCCGCCTTGTCTTCGTTCACCATGAAGAATGACAATGGAACACTGACACCAACTGTGTTTCCTGTAGAAATACTAGACAAATAATTGGACAATTTAGAACAGATTTCTTTAGACCGGCCGTAATCGCGGTTCTGATAAAGAACACGTAATGCCATTGATGACAAACCGCGCAATGTATAATATAACTGTGCTTCTTCGCATAACCAAACAGATGAATTCAAATATTCAATCAAAAGATTTTCATTAAAATCAGACAACAAAATTTCGGCATCGGCATTCCTGCATCAACTTTAACTTTAGTTTCGACTTGAACTGAAGGAATGAAGAAGAATTCTTGATATGTTCTAGATCGGCCGTAATCATAGACATTGTTTGCCGTTCTGATTGGTTGTGTCGTTGATAAATGGAAACCGGGTGGTTTAGGCAATCGTTCGTTCTTCTTTTTATTTTCGAGTTTTTCATGTTTAGAACGATGTTCAACAACCGTAGCAATTAAACATGTACAATGTAATTGTGAAACAAACGCTGAGATATAATCACCGGATTCGATATTGATACGAACTAATTCACTCAACCACTTTAAGCGCATGTTTGGAAAGTCCATGTTTTCATCAGCCAATGACATTAATTGTTGACAACGAATGGACAATGCTTGTTTTGATGATTTCTGTTTTTCAACAATATCTGCAATGGATAAAGCAGAATCCATTCGATCACTAACTTTCTTTTTAAGTGATTTATTGTCTGGTGTAAGTTCTTTAATTATCAAAATATATTCTTTAAACATAGGAATCATTGAAACTTTGTTTTCTAAAAGAATTG